GGTATTTTGAACTACAGAGGGCTTTTTCGATGTAAAGGCACACCCTGCTATGAATTCCAAGATTCGCCTATGTGTACGCGTATACATCGAAACTCGTGTGAAGGACACGCATAGACTGAACATGCAAACGTACTACACCGTGTGATATTTTATATGTATAAATATATGGCACCGGTATACGACGAAGACGAGATTTGTGGGAAGTTCGGCTATTTACAATTATTATATGCACACACACACACACACACACTATATTGCTGCCGTTCTTGCTGCACGTATAGTATAATGTACTGTTCTAATATATAGTCGTGTGTGACATTGTATTATAGCCGGATCGCACGATTGCGCAGACACACACACACAACACACTGAGTAGCAGAGGTCCCAAGTGTTGTTCATCAGTTAAGCGTTACATATATATGAGTCGAATGGATTTTCGGTGACGATCGTTGTGGGGTCCTCTTATTATACACATAATATTATGATACACCTATTTAATATATATATATATATATATATATAATGTACATAATTTATCTATGTAACTAAATATATTGTATGAATGTACCTATATATACGGTAAGCGTGTATAATATGTATATATATATATATATATATATAAATGTGTATATGCGAGTGTGTGCTTGTACCTACGTCTTGTGCTCGTCTTATTTGTGGTCGCCGACCTGCAAAGCATATGCTCAACACATGCAACCAACAGCCAACAGACTTATAACGTGATATCGTGTGTGATATGTGTGTGTGTGTGTGTGTGTGTGWGTGTGTGTGTGCGCGCGCGAGAGTGTATGTGCGCGTTCCCGTCTAAAAATCCAACATGGCCGGTCACCATCACTGCCATCGCGGGAGGAACTGCAAGTCGGATGTAAATTAATACGAATTGCATCTATGCAGTCTGTACCTAAATACATGACATAATATATTGTCTATGTATCAAAATACATATACACACGGGCCAGGGTTTGGAAACTGTATTTGGTTTTTATTCGCTTCCAGTTCCAGTTTTGACTTTTAAAAACCGTTTGGGCACTGATCTCAGTTTTACGTCTCAATAATGAGTCCGGTAGTTATACAGCTGAGGAAAGGGTTCACGAGTCTTGTTTTTGCCATTACCGTGGTAGTTATCGTTTGTTATTGATGCTTACTCGTATTTTTACTTTTATTTTTTCAGTGATGCTCCCCCAGACTTACTGGGGGTGCTGTAATATTGTAAACTGTATTGTTAAAAAATGATTATATGATTAATATTTTGCAAAACTCATTATTATTATTATTATTATATTTAAATTTACACTGTTGGCTTATAATATATAAATAAGATAAGAAAATTAGTAATAAACAGCAAAATATACAGTTATTATGTAAGTACTACCATATATATATCCATCTATATTGCAATTTGTATCAACATTTACGAACAAAAAATCTTGCACAACCAGGATTTCGTATGTGAGACTTATCAAGAAGTGTAATTCCATTATTTATTTTTATCGAAATGTATTTAAAATTTAAATATTTTAATTACAAATTAAAAATTATGTATAACATCGTAATATCATTATTATTTTTTTTAACGCGTCTTATAATAATCTCCAATTATAATTAAAAGCAATCACAATTAAAATTACAATTATAATAAAATTCTAAGTGATTCATACATTTTTAAAACCTTTTAACATTATTTTAATTGAATTACTTACATTCATAGATCTTTTGAGTTTTGACATACTTCTTCAAACAATGTCCATAACAACGTATATGGACTTTAAATAATTAAACATAATATTATTTTATATACTCATCCAGGCTTATTAAGCAATATTATCTTTTTCATAAGTTAATCTAAGCTATAATTATTATAAATAAAGCTATGTTTTTTCTTTCTATAATATGGTTGTAAATAATATTTCATTAGACTTGTACAATTTAAATCGGAAATACTTATCATTTATATATAATATATATTATGTACCTATTCATATGGCTATGCATATTATAAGTACCTATAATATTTATCAATGATTAATGATTATTAAACATGCTATATTATACATACTATATCTCTCTCAATCTCTGTGATTAAAAATATAATTAAAAAGAAATATAGGTATACTTACATCTATTGCAGGCATTACGCCATTACCTACTTACAACTGCGGATATTTGCTCGTGGCTCATCATAAAAATAACAATTAAGATTTAAGAATAATATTACAATGGAATTTTTTGTTGATATCGCCTGGTCAGAAAACTATAATCCGATAAATAAGTATCCTTTCCTTGTATGAAGTGGTCGTTTGCAAAGGTTTTTTTTAGACGATGTATACATACGATATTTGGAACATTTCCAAAATGTTCCTGTAATTTGTAATCCGTTTTAAGACAAATAGTTACTGTTAAAAATCCGCTCACTATTTTGTATTTGTGTATAACTATTTTAGACCATCGTATAAATTACGTCGACASTATAAAAGCTAATAGATTATTAAAAAAAGTTTAAAATATAAATATTATATAATATTAATTTTATTTAGGTAACACAAACTTTCGAATAAGTATAATAAGAAACTGCATCATCATATTTTAAACGAAACGATTTATGCTCGTATATAGGTTAAAATTAAAATTATATATAAAAGTAATTGTACTCTCATTACTCAATAATAAAATCCCGGAAGTACGCAGAATTGTCAAAAATCTTCTAGTATATAGTAGTAATAATGTAAACGTAGTGTGTGTTCAATACATCAAACACGCAATAAAATAAAAAAWTATAATGATATGCTTTTTCTTTATCGTATTTACTAACCAATTTGTGTTTTGAATACTTATAGTATTATAAATTATATTTATGCGTGTTGTTAATAATTGTATTACTTATTATAAGCACTTAATAATATTATTTTATGAGTAAATAAAA